CAACTAATGCTAACAGTGTTAACTTTTAACTGAAAACTTTCGGATGTTACGCTTTTGTCGAAACTGTTATGTACACGCTATAAAAACGTTAATGTCAACAGATTTAATTATAGTTATAAAGTTCGTGTTGGAGTATCTCCATAGCAGTCACTGGAGTGCCAAGGAAAACATCTTTTCTTTTTGTCTGATTATAGACAACTGATATGAATTGAGACCATGATAAAAATGTGCTTTGTTAAGATTGTTTTTTTTTACCACATAGTCTTTTCTTATTAAATGTTTGTTATTGATGAGGCACGCTTAATCGCAATAACAATTTCAAACTTGTTTCTTGAAATATCATTGATATGTTCATTTTCTGTTTACTGTTTATAATGACGAATCATTCGATAACTAAGTTTTTATCTACCCTTTGGCATGGATTGCTAAGGCCATATTTGGAACATCTTTTTGTAATTTTCAGTTTGTAATGCTCCTCAACCATGTATTGGATTTGGTTTTCAAACAATTTTCGAGCGCCGCTTAATTTCGGTTTATACCGCACCTCAGCTTTTCATTTAATATTGCATTCCAACTGTTTAGATCCGAGCGCCGCTGATGAGTCATATGAAGAAGAAACGCGTCTAAATTATAAAACGTTTTATTTTTATTATTTTTGAGTTTGAGTTGATTTTATTCCCTTTATGACCAAAACAATCATTATTTATATAACTTTGCTATATAATCTTTCCATGTTCCTTGTGTGGATGGTTAACTTCTGTAAACAAAAATGCCAGAATTGAGATTTTTGGAGAAAAATGGTGATTTCTTTAAAACTTTGAATTTAAAATTAATAAAATATACTCGTATGTTATTGGCATGATATTGGCAAACCTCAAGCCATAAGTCATGAATCTAGCTGAATATTTTTACTCCCAGGCCATTGATGGACATTTTAAAGCATTATTCGAAATGGAAGTGGTCCTTTAGTTTTTTTATCTAGTATATATAATTCTTAGGCTTTATCACCATACACTTGTTTTAAAACTCATTCGACATGCTGTTTTTATACATTCATGTACTATTGAATTTGAAAATTGAAAAAAGAAATCGTATTCCAAAGTATTTAACATATACTGAAAGATCACTGGGGTGTTTGCATCTAAAACATATATAAAAATATTCAATGTATGTAGTAATGGAGATGTGGGATAGCAACCCAACAATAATCTAAACAAATGACATATTAAGGTCAACATAAGTTCTTAATAATAGAAAATGTTCATGTACCTGTGTCTTGTATTATTTTTCACCCAAACATCATTACTAGTACCCTGTAACTTTCTTACCCCACCCCCGAAAAAAACCCAAATACATCTTTAGATCAATAAATAAAGTGACAAATAGGCATGGCAGTCAGTTTTTAATCAAACGAAACTAATTTGAAAAATGTATATATATATCAGGATATGCAGATCCTTAGTTTGTATTGTCTGATTTTTTAGCTGTAGACATCTACACCGTATACCTATATGACCCTCTAATCCAAAATATTAAAAGGTTTTGCACATCATGAACTATTGGCAATACCCTGCCATTATTCATGTCAATATCATAAAGTTTATTACAAAATGGGAGGGTAATTTTGCATGTACTTTGTCGCTGATATTACATGTGCCGGTCATATGGTGATGTTTCGATCAGACGTGCGATAATAACCGGAAGCAATTGATAATATCTCCATATTCATCCGCTATCGTTAATGATATAAATAGTTTATCATCCTGTTGAATATATCAAAGCAAATGATAATAAGTAAAAATCTTAAAGCTGGTTCGATACCGAAAAATGATTCAACTTGCGGGACTTTAATTAGAAACTAGAATAAAATAGAATATTTTAAGCATAACATTTAAAGAAATGGCATTAACAAAGCAAACAAATTTAAGAGATGTCATTGTGCTAGATAAACTCATTTACAGGGGTAATAAACACACCATTCTTACAAGAACCCCTTTATATTTAGTGATTGATATCAAACTTCAAATGGAATTATTTTTCATTTGTATATTTTCATTTCGTTTATAACTGTTACAGTTTTTTTGCCCTGGTATGATATTACTGTATGCAAATTCATATGTAAGTAGAGAAGAATGCATTGTATGGTAACCGTGGTGGATTAGTTAACAATTTAAAATTATGGTACACAAAATTGTTTTTCTTAAAACACAATTGAACATAATTATCCTAGGTTACTTCGCTGAATCATTAAAGTGTCTGATTTGAAAAAGATAATAAACATGTATCAGAGGCAGAAATTTTGGGCGGGCTCTAACCTCCTTGTGGACCTGCATATATAATTTATGCATAGACAAGTCCCATCACTTCAAACATTGCCTTGTTAATATCACCCCCCCTTTTTATGTTAATATCCTTGATCTGCATCTGTATATCTTAAAATGTGGTAATCTAATGAAGAAATTTCTGTGCAACCATTATAGCGGTTCTTGGTTTGATATACTTTATGATCACAATTTATTCGTTCAGTGTATGTTCACTTGTTTTTGTTAATATGTCTTTTGATTGAGTTAAGCCATTTCAATTGATATTTTATAGTGTGTCTTTCTATGTTGAGATGTTACACTATTGGTTCATGTATGGTGAAGGTTGGCGCCTATCAAAACGTTTAAACCCGCTGCATTTGTTTGCACCTGTCCTAAGTTAGGAACCTGATGTTCAGTGGTTGTCGTTTGTTGATGTGGTTCATAAGTGTTTCTAGTTTATCGTTTTTTTTTATATAGATAAGACCGTTGGTTTTCCTGTTTGAATGGTTTTAGAAACATTTTTTTTATTTTTGGGGCCCTTTATAGCTTGCTGTTCGGTGTGAGCCAAGGCTCCGTGTTGAAGGCCGTACTTTGACCTATAATGGTTTACTTTTACAAATTGTGACTTGGATGGAGAGTTGTCTCATTGGCACTCAGACCACATCTTCTTATATCTATTTATATAATGTATGCATATAGACTCCATATTGAATAACATTGAGAACTTAGCCGGTGCAAATATGATTAGAAACTAAAAATATACTTTCCTGTTGTGGAGTATTTTAAGAAAAGTAATACCCCGATCCCGAGGCTCTACGCTAGGTGTTGGATACACCAGCTTTTTAGGAATTCTAAAAAATGTTTTATATAATTTAACTGGCATTTCGACATTGTCCTTTGCCGTGATTTTTCAATCGTTGAAAGTTGTCTTCATTGGAGGTTTATTACGTATACCTTATTATGGTAAATTTTATAACCATATCTTACAGCACTATATACCACGTGCTCTTTTGTATGAGGTAAGAAGGTATGGTTTGTCGTAAAGGAGACAGCAATCCAAAAACCAAGTTACGGAATCCAATAAAAAAAACAATATGAAATGTTTTAACAACAATTGGCCTTAGTGAACTAGGAGGCCCTGTTTAAAACCACACCGAATTTTAAATCCTTGACGAATTAGGTTATGAATTAAAAACTAAATCGAAGACATAAAATGAACATAATTTTATGTTGACTCTTGATGTGTTTTTGTTTTGTTTCTGGTTGGTAACTTATTGATGTATAAACCCTAACTTATTTAAAGAATTTAAACTTTTCACAAATCGACTGTTATTGGATTGATGTCTCATTTAAGTTTTTCCGTTTATTTGGGTTTTTTTTCATTTATAAAAAAGCGCATAAGAAATATTCTATTCGCTCGTATGTGTATGTACATGTGGACTACTGTTTAATTTTCATTCTATGAAGTATTTGAAATCTTGTGTTTAAATGACGTCTTCTTTTTTGGTTTTTAGTTTTAATTCGGTACCACATACTTGTGGTTTTTAACTATTAAATTACATCAAAAGATTTGATAATTAATCACCTGACATCGGTCTAGAAGCCTATTATCGGTAAAGTACTATTTTATTTGATCGGAGTAAATACTATTAAGGAACCCTATACCCTCACTTGGTACAATAGCAGAGCAAACAGACAACAGAAAATTAATCCTATCACAATATAGATATTTACACCTTCTTTAAACAGATTAAGTTGGGAAACACTCTTAAATATGGTTAAGTGCCACCATCTTTAGATCTAAAACACGGGATGAGCATATCTAGGGAATTAAACAGTAACTTGAGAAGATAGAATCCTGTTATTTGCCACTTATTTCACTTAAAGCTTGATTACTACAAACAAAGTAATATTTGATTAGTACCAATTATGTCTTTTTGGTCGCATAATTTTGTTTATTTAAGAAGTATTCTCGTCAAATATCAACATATAATTGTTTTAAACCTCACACGCTGCCGTTCAAAGCCCTATTTACTGTTAGATGTGCAAATTAATAATTTATTATATTTAAAAAAATATATTTTAAGTATATCTGCATAGGCAGAGGATGAATACTAAAATAGCTTAAAATTATTGGAAGAAATTAATCTCGCACCTTGCAAGTTCTAAAGTTGTAAGTACTATTATTATTATTATTATTATGTAACAATTAAATCATGCGTGCGCTTGTATTTTATTGATGTTGAACACCTCTAGAAGGTATATTGATTTTGTGTGTTTTAAAATACTTTCACTAAACTTTACCATTTTGCTTCTTCCTTTATTATTTCCTCTTTCTGGGGGAAAAAGCGGGCTGTCATTACGTGCTTAAATTTAAATGTCAAAAATAATCGTTGGAATTATATTATATATTTACGTTTGATGCGCTTAAAGCACTCTTATAAATGTATACACTTAATTTTCACCGGCTTCTAAATAGTAGGAGAGTTCGAGAATGAAGTGTGTTTTCTTCATATATATCTAGATATTTTACGTTATAAATCATGTGTATATGACCAGGGAGTGTACAATACGTAATGCGGCTAATATCAGGAATGTTGGTTATATTGAAACAAATTATAAAACAAATAAACATGTGCTTCTTCTATTATTTTAGAATATGCAACGATTCGGAGACTTGACACAGCATGCCTCTACATTTATCAGGATGCCACATGGAACTTATCCACCACACCCGTTCTTCCCTGCTCCAATACCAAACCTTTCTCCACAGTATCCTCACTCATTTCCTACCATGTCTATAGCAGAAAGATTAGCGGGTAAAGTACAATGTTTTTATTTTTATATCAAAATATATGTTGAAATAATGTTAAAATGATTGCTTGTTAGTAGATCTTTCAAATTACACATTTATGATTTCACATTAACAGCATAAGATTAGGAGTGTACTGCAGTACAAATATTAAAAATGACTGCAAAAATTGAGGACAATTTAAATTGGATTATCTTTTTTATTTTCAAATTTCAAATTCGTATATGAAATTACTAAATGCTAAAAGGAGTTAAAAAAAACTAAGTCAAGTAATGTAGCTTGGTTTACAGTTTTCATGGACCCATTGTGTAAGCCTTCGACCAACTCTATTTTCTATTGTAGAAATTTGTTGAGCTATGCTGATTAGTTTTTTTTCCCAACCCTGTTTTATTTAGGTTCGATATATTGCATTATTAACTTTAATATGTTCACTGATGTACTATAACTGTTGTTATAATCACTGGTTCCTTAATGGAAAAATAGAAAGCAATACCATAAATACGAATTGCATGCCCTTATTTTCATTTAAGAACATTTTGTTTGTATATTGTTATTTTTTTTCCAACCTAGTTTCAAATATTTTTTTATATGTTTTTGGTTTTTAGTCATGATAGTACCTTTACTGGTTGGAAATTGAAGTTTATACATTAATCTAAATCGGGTGATTTAAGGGACACTCGGAAATCATTTATTTCCGATAAATGAAAAATGAGGATAACACATTACACATGAAGTACACGCTACCTTCAAGAAAACAATATTTCGATATTTTCACACAAATATTTCCACTCTCAATGATAAAACACCAAAATGAATTAGTTTACCCTATGATTACTAGTATTTTATATCATTAAAATGAAAATCACATTTTATCGATTTAAAATTCATTGTATTCAAATGTGCATCTACTCATGGAAGTAATATTACTTCCATGATCTACTTAAAGAACTTTTTAATTCTGTCATATTTAAACAAATTAAACAGTTGAATAATATTTCTGAACTTCAAATAAAGTTACAAATGTCAAGTCAAGCAGAAACTTCTTATCATCATGGGGCACATGCGTTAAGGCCGAGTTTTCATTATCTCTTGATTCAATGTTGTACAATATTTAGTGTTAATGTGTAGTGTTTTAATTTATTCTTATTGTCTTTTCATCATCTTTTTTACCACGATATCCTGTCATTTGTGATTTTGATTGCTTTTTTAATACTCCCTTACTTTTTGAAAATCTATGATTTATTGATTGATTTGTTGGTGATAAATGCCCTTTCAGCACTATTGGCTATATGATGGCGGCAAGTTTTTAATAGCGGAAGAAGCCGGAGAGAACCACCGACCTTCGGCAGGAAAACTGGCAATCCTAGTCAATAAAGATTAGAGTTAGAGAATCTACTACATCACCCGTGTATTTTTTCGTCAACTTAAGGAATGCTATATCACATGAATAGCAATGTGGCAATTACATTTATTATGCATCATAATAATTAATATGTGCAGCGACTATTATATGATCACCCGTAAAAAAGTGTCAATTACATTTGTTATGAATTATAAAAATTAATTTTTGCAGCTGACCTATTATTTGAGGCTAGATTTGGTCAGCATAGAAAACAAAGACGAAGCCGAACAGCTTTTACCAACCATCAGTTAGCAACTTTGGAAAAGACGTTTTCTAAAACACACTATCCAGACGTTGTTATGAGAGAAAGACTGGCTATGATGACAAATTTACCGGAAGCTAGAATTCAGGTAAGTTCTATGATGACAAATTGAACGGAAGCTAGAATTCAGGAAAGTTCTATGATGACAAATTTACCGGAAACTAGAATTCAGGTAAGTGCATGAATAAAAAATATTTTAATCTGACAACTCTTTTAAAATATTCATTTTGCTAAAACAAACAAAGTTACTGTACAGAGTTTACCGTTATTGTATGTGTAACATTTCTACATGTCTTTTTCTATTTAAATTTCGTCTGGTTGTTAATCAAAATGTTAGAAAACCTCTGTTAAGGACGAATTACTATCAAACAAGTATAAATAGTATTCTACATGATCATGGTAGTTTTTGGCCATTTGTATAAAAATCGAGTAATTTTACAATTACTGAATGGAGTTGAATACTGTTGTGAACTTGTTGTTTATAACATATTGTAACTTTTCAAAGAAATATAATTCAGGTAATCCGATTTCAATAAAATAGTAAATAGTCTTAATATCTCATAGGTATGGTTTAAAAATCGAAGAGCTAAATATAGGAAGAAACAGAAAGGTCGTAGTTCTGACAACCCTAGTGAAAATGATAAAGAGAAAGCCAAAAATGACAATTTGAACGATGATAGACCTACAGATGAGCAAATTATTGATGTTGTAGAGGAAGATTTTCTTAGTTCTGATTCACCAAAAACAGAATCTCAAACACCAGAGGAAAAAGGGGAAGGTAAATATGTTTCCTAATTACGAAAATAAATCAAACAATCAACACCGGAAAGAACCTTGTAAAAACATGTAACCAGTAAACTGTTGGAAAAACGTCCATTCTGGCGAGTTGTTTAGTAATTTGACTAGTGTTAGAATTTTGCATTCAAAATAAGCATAATTTAATTTAACAAAAACAAAATAGATGTTGTGTAGCTTCCTATGTTTAATTAGAATATCTTGAATATTCTTGAAAGAGTAATAAAACGGAAATTTTCCGTAGTAATGGTAAGAATGAGAACATGTTCTGCATCCATTCACTTTATCAAATATATGTGTAGGAGTATCGTATAGGATCCTAAGATACGTTTACGTTACTGTCACAAATTATCTCATCTCGGTCGTTTTTTCCAACACGTTTCCATCACTTTTCAATGTTTTAGAATTATTATTTCTTATACTTATACTCTTTCAACTATTCATACTCTCATTTAAGAATTAAAAGCTTCTTTATGTATTAGATACATCTTGAGGGCGTTAGGCCGAATGGATGTATCTAATTTACACCAATATATTATAGTCAATGCAGAATGACAGTTTTCAATAATTTAGAAGGGGGGTCTTTCAGCGATTTCACTATATGGTATTGAAAGCATGATAAATGCAGGATATCAAATTTCATTTAACGACACCGTGGTGTAATTTTGTAGGGTTGTAAAAGCGTTGATCGTGCGCGCAATTCTAGTATTAAAAGCTTCCGCGCTTCATACTAAAAGAGCTTCGGTCAACGCTTTTACAGCCCGATAAAATTAAAAAAAGAAGCTTAAATTACGACTTAAAGCTTATTTTTCGTTTGTATTTCTATACATTGTCGTGAAATGTAATGAGAAACATGTGCTGTTATGAATGATGCAGTTTTATTCAGAAATACAATTGATATTGGAATGCCTCGCGATTGCATTCAGCCAATCAAAAGTTCGGATTCTTGTGAACCAAAAATGCAATGTAATTATTCAATTATAATAATTACATGACTTGATAATATATATTCACGTCATATTTTGATTTAAAACAATGCATGTTTCTATGGCTATTTTGAGAGACTTATTTAGGCAAGGAAAAAAAAATAGATTGTTATAAAGATAACAGATTAATGACATCGACATAATTTCTAACAGACTGAAATCCATTGGTAAATGAAGCCGCAGTATTGAAACTTGAAAAATTACCCCGCTTAAAGTCAGTGCTTATCATGGATATTTTCACATATTTAAAGCCCGAAGCCCATGAATTTGTAGGAATATTAATCGCAGAAAAAAAAGTGAACAACCGTAACTGGAATTCTTGATTTGCTTTCATTGGTTTTTTATGAAAAATGTATCTGAGAATGTAAACATCGTAGATGAACTGACGACAAGAACACATTTTCTCAATGTGAAAAAGACATAATTCTTTTTTATTTTAGGTATTAATCTTGAAGCATTGAAACAAGATGATACAAGCAAAGAATGTGATATGGAATTAGAACGGGATAGAGGTAATAAGCAATAAAAAAATTGTCATCGAAGTGATATCTGTACGACTGAAGAAACCCATTTTCTGTGAAAAATTTCTTTGTTGAATATTTGTTCACTTGCAGGTTAATCACTTGTAAAGTTAATAAACAACGAATTGATTATAAAAAAAAAAAAACACCACGACTTTTTGAAGTTTCCTGCTCTAATTATTAAACGATACGAATTGATTGATATAAATTACGCTTGACGCTCTTTAGCAACTTAAAAAGTGCATATTTTGGACGTTAATATTATAATGTAATTCAATAGATACATCTTTTTTTTGTACTATACAATCACTATGAGTCACTTTTCTAATAGTTAAAACTAAAAAAATACATAAAAATGTTTTGATTTGCAGATATGATATGCACAAAATTAATGAAATTAACGAACCCCCTTAGGATATGTGCACTTGAGTATATCAACACTATGAACTTATTTTTATTTTTACAGAAAAAGTGGAAGAAAATAATGGTCAGCTTCAGTTACCTCCCTTTTCTGTGTTTAACTGGAACAATCATCTTCTTAATAACACACTGTATCACAAACAACTAGAACTACAACGCTCGGTCACATACAGTTCAGCGTTTCCCCTAGCACCAATGATGACTCCACATTATCCATATCATCTAGGACCTCATTTAGCGACGTCGTCATATATGCCTTTATCACAGACAGATAGTTTTAGAACCTCGCATGCAAACACACATACCAGAGAAATGGCTGGAGACTTTAGAATTTCAGACAGAATTTAACAAGTCCACACATTTATACAGAGTCTCGACTAATGGATTTTTTTATCCAGTTAAAATATAGATAGTAGATCAAATTTACTCTTCTTGTAATATTAAATTCAGCATGAACTTATTCTTGTCTTTAAACATAATAGAACATATACATTTTAAAAATATGTTGTCTTATTTATCTTTAACATTTATACTTGAAGTTAAATTGTGAAATCATCACTTAAATCAACACTACAAAAAGTACTGGTTCGTTCCTTTTTATTAAATTAACTGTTAACAAACTGTTTGAATTATTCGAAACACCAAGGATTTTCTACCCGAAGAATGGATTACCCTACCTGTATTTGGAAAAACGTTTTGGGGCGGAATTTTTGGATCTCAATGCTTCAATTTCATAATTGATTTGGCCTTCCAATGTTTCTGATTCAAGCATCAGTGTAGACAAATCGCGAGCCTGGCGTACAAAATTATAAGCCTTGCATAATAAGTTTTAAAATAATCCCTACGTAAATTGTACGAACGCTATCACGAATTGGTTGACCGTTATGGAATATCTGTTTCACAGATGACGACGGATATGTTCTAATTGTCGTAACTACATTTTCGTCCCCTTTCCCCTGAATGTGACCTACCGAATTAGACATATCACCGGGTTTATACTTACATGAGCAACACGAGTGGAGCAGGATCTGCCTACCCTTCTGGAGCACCTGAGATCACCCCCAGTTTTTAGTGGGGTTCGTGTTGCTCAGTCTTTGGTTTTCTATGTTGTTTTGTGTACTGTTGTTTGTCTTTTTCTTTTTTAGCCATGGCGTTGTTATTTTTTTTTATTTATGAGTTTAAATGACCATTTGGTATCCTTCGCCTTTCTTTTACGTAAATATCTTATCTAAAATGTTCAAGTTTCAAAATTCCTTAACTATTTATTATAAGCAGTAGCAAAAGAAAGTTGTTGTTTGCTTAATTCTAATTCATATTACAATTATATCGTATGATAGCAATTCGAGTGCAAATAACATTCGTTTTCCCAATACTTTTATCAGGTACGCCCGAGACAAAAGAAATTCCAACAACAAAATGCATAAAACATTTAGGACAGTTAAACACATTAAGTGACTGAACAGAACAGCTAAATTTGTCCACGCATCATTCCGCTTTTTATATCCCGCTTTAAACTTGGTCTCTGAATCAAAATATATAATGCTAAAAATAAATTGACAAAAACAAAACATCAACGTTTTTAAAATGCAAATTTGAAAGGGTAAATAACACTCATCGTCTAACTATAAGATAACATAATCCCAAATAATAAATACCGGTAGTTTGTGTTTGAGAGTTTTTTCCTGTGCCGTTTTCTAGATATCAGTGTACATTTCCCCTAAAATATATTCTGAAATAGACTTATTCATTTATATTTCTTTTCTATACATGGTAACATGTAACGTCTTTACGTTGTGTCTGAAAATGAAAGGTCAAAGAATTTCTAAGCTTCATTGGTCTTTCCCTTTTGTTTCCAGGTGGAAACTCCAAACAATTTTCACAACTTGTCGTTATCGTAAGTTAAACAGTTGTATTTTAGGAACTTGCCATCTAGATATCTTTTGGTTAAGTGTTGTCATTGGGTTGCTATAACAATGACGTATGCCCCACATCTTCTTTTATTCATATCCGTTAGAGTACGGAGTATATGTTGTACTAAAAGAGAAAAAAAGTGATATATGATTTTTTTTAGATTGCGTTAACATATAATTATCGGCCCACTGACTTTTAAGTTTTATATTTTTCTTTATTTACTATTGTATATATATTAAAGTACCCCTTTTTAATTGGTTAGAATATAGATATAATATAAGACCGTTACTATGCTTTTCTAAGTAAGAATAACTGGTACATGTATTTTATTAAGCTCCCATTTAAGCCTTTACATTACTAGTATGTAAGTATATTTGTTCGGTATGGATTATAATCGTTCATCGTTTTGCCAAATAAAGTTTTAAATGATATATCTAAAATGTAATATGTCCTATAATAAACATAACTGTAAGTATTATTTAAATTATGGAAACAAAAACATGTCAGTAACTCTCAATTTTTGACTGAAAAGTATCGATATTATACCATTTACGTAACAAAGTTAGCCTCTTTAAATCAAATTTCTTCAAGCATTGTCAGCCATTATCTAAAAATCCCTGATTACCAAGGACTTAATATGGCGCGAGGTTCACGAGTGTCTCAATTTTGAAAGCATGTGACTTTTTTGAAACATTTGAAAAGCAAACAAGTCAAAAGATTAAGGTATATTAAACACTCATATCGTACTTAGACTGCAAGTTAAATGCAATTGTTTATTTTTTGCAATACAAGTGTGGCTGTTCGTGCACATTGAAAATAATAATTATTCAAGTAAAAAAAGTTAAACTAACTTATTAATTTTAATCGTGATCATTTAAATTAATATTACTGTCACTTGAAATTTTCGTTTAACGCGTTTTTTCGCTGCCTTATGTAAAGTATTTATTTATATAAAAGTAGAAATGTTGCAAATAAAAAATTATTTCATAGTAAAATACTACTCAAAATTACAACACCAATCAGTAGATGGATTTTTTTTTAAAAGAATACATTCTTTCATCAAGTAGGTGTAATAAATTCTTAACTAGGCAACGCTTTCGGTCGTATTAGAATACGCCCTGTTTCAGTCGATATCAAAAGTACAACTACAAACAAATATATTTGCTTAAGGGTAATAACTCTAAAATACTTTCAGCGTGATATTGCTATCTTGACGTTTTCAAGAAAATTTCTATTTAAAATTTCTGCAAAAATAGTTCTTAGATACTGATTATCGAACCCGATCTAGGCCTTGGTGATATAAACCTTTAATAAATCATTAATATATACCAGGGTCAAGGTCAGACTTGTAATTTTGAAAACATCATGAAAAACGCTTAATATAATAAAAGGAAAACACAGGTTAGGAAGGAAGAATAGTCCATCGAAGCATTATTCAAGAAGGAAAATCACCGCACAAAGACAAGCCAAGGGACAAGAAAGACGCACAAACAATAAACACTTCACACTAAAAACTAAACACAAAAGAGAAACACTTAACCCCGTAAAAACTTGGGCGACATCAGGTTCTCCGGAGGGTATATAGGTCCTGCTTCTTGCAGGACAACTGCTGTGTTTTGTACGAAGATCATTTTTCGGGAACGGAGGAAAGGAATCTACGACAGCTAAAGAAAGTCTGGTTAGGAAATAAGAAACTACATTATTTATTTACCGAAAATGCTCGGAAACTTTTACAGAAGGTTTCTGAAATTTAGTGTAAATTGGGAACTACAGTATTGGTGTTTATAAAATACATAAACACATGACTGTATTATAATTGTTTATCCTTTACTTGCTTTTCTTTTGTACATTTAAGAGCTGATCTCAGAGAAAACCATGGAAAATTTCAAAAAGATGGTCCAGAAGCAACTATTTAGATATGGTTTAGTATGTTGTTTGTTGGAAGCTCCAATGACTTGGCAATCTCTATGAAAGTGTTTTGATTTATATCTGTTTGTGCTGTTTTTAGAAACAGGTATTTCTATTCTTAGCAAATGAGAAATCCGAAAATCTTTGAAATTTTAATTTTCAAATTTCATAAAGTTGCACAAATTTTCGACTTATGAGTTTGAATGTCCCTCTGGTATCTTTCACCTCTCTTTTAAACTTGAAAAAAAAAATGATTCCGTCATTATATAATGATACATTAAATATTAAAAGTATATGTTACAAATTAAAGAAAACTCATTACAATGTCTGGTGTATGAAAATAGGGATTCTGTCAATATTTTAAAGTTGTATCAGTTACGAGAAATACTTACAAGATGTGTTTTCTGAGACTTATATCTGTAAAAATAACACTTGAAATTTTAATATTTATTTGCTAGAAGGGATGATTATGTATTGAATTATTGATGTTTAATAGCTTTTGCTGTTGATTTGATTTTACTAGACTGTATTTTGAACGGTTAAAGTTAAGACAAGTGATGCAAAATACATGAATTTCAAAGGATTTCTTTTAACACATTCAATGATATTAGCTTAATTTTCTTTGAAATTCATAAAAGTAATGTTTTTTTTCAGGAAAACAATTTGCCGTTACAATTTAACGGTTTGTGGTAAAACACATTTTTTATTAAATGAATAAATATATAATTGCTTTTCAATATAATTAAATGACAGTGAATGTTTAAAGGGTTCAGTGTTTGTTTGTTTGGTTTTTTTTTTACTTTCTTCATGGAAGACCCGTAGTGACATCACAACTACATGGAAACCCTTTAAGAAGCTTTTTCATCAGAGGTATCTTTCCATTAACAATCCAAACTTTTCTGATTGGGTTCCATTAATATATCCTCCAGAACTAAAATTAAAGAAACCACAGACACGGCTTCCTCTGCCTCATTTTAGACTATACCTCGAATTTGACTTCAGTGGTCATTTCAGTACCAGAATCTATGACAAACGAGAGATTTTAATTTTGAAATTATAAATTTCCCCCACCTTGGCAGCAATATACTAGCTTCACCTGCATTAGGATATACATTTACCCAACTCATTCGGTATTCAAGAGCTTGCAGCTGCTACTCAGATTTTATAAAACATCACCAGTGTTTGAGCAGAAAGTTGATGAACCAGGGTTATGTCAAAGAACGTCTCGTACTTTTTCAAAAAAAAAATCATCGGAAGATACCAAGACCTTGTTGACAAATATTCCGTAGCAACTTCACAAATAATACATGATGGTCTTAAAGTATAGGTTATAGTAACTGACGTTGTGTATCATCTAAATCACGTGTTATAGTGTTTATTTGTCTTTGTATATATTAACTTTTACTGTTTAGTCCATTTTTGGTATATACTTTTGGTGTGGCTAGGTATTTATACATCCCGCCATTGTGTTATTGTGATATGGTCATTTTTGTATTCTTGTCTTTCATTTTTGCTTATGTACTTTGTATATAGAGTGTCTATATTCCATTTTGTTTTTATTTGTTTAAATAGTTATTTGTTTTATAGTGATTAAGATTATAACACAATGTTGACTGCTGTACCCCAATTTTTGACATTTTTACCTATTATGTCTGT